GCATGCCGCCGGCGGACGCGTGGCCGGGTGTGGCACGGAGTGTCACTTTACGTGGCCAGAGTCGTAGCTCGGGCGGCAATTTGCGCGGAAAAGGAAGGCGCACGCCCCGGGGGTGGGTGTGAAATATTTCCATCAGTGACGGAGGAAGTGAGTTCCAAACAGATTCTGAAAATCAGCTCAGCACAGAAAGCCTTCAGATTTCAAGAGGGGGAAACACGGGACAAAAGCCCATGGCATAGTCCATCGGGATGGGCCCCGAGGCTGTGCTGTCTAAAAAACAAAAAAAGCGGAACATCTGGTTCGTGCAGAGGAAGGCCGGACAACTCCACGGCCTCTACGTTTGGGCTTCAGTGCTCGACGCGCTCGCTGATCGAGATTCTCGGCCGGTTCAAGCCATCGCTCTGGGCGTTTGTGTCGACAAGCCTATTTAAGGCCGTGGAGGATTCTGGGTCTATCTGTGACCACACAAAACTGTGCGTTTGGAAATGGTTTTGGGTCTTTGGATGTTTCCTTGACTGCATTGAACTATTTAGAACTGTGTTTTGTGAACTCCCAGAGATGCCATAGTGATGTCCTTCTTGATCTAGATGGGTATACATTTGTTTTTTTTTTGCATAGATATCTATAACCGTTCCAATTAACACTCCTGTTACGGCTGGGCCTAACTGTTCTGAGGCCTGGTTAACGTTGTGGCGAGGCAGGCCCAGCCACGTGACGCGGGCAGGCTACCGTGGCTCGCCCGCGTCCCTCCCTCGCACTGCGCAATCAAGCTGCGGGGAACCAGAACGACAGTGCGTATTTCTTGCAGTTGACTGCAAATTCTCCCTTGTCCTTAGCGTAGTGCCGCGGATGGCTGCACTATCCCTCTCACGGGCAGGCCTGCCTAGTCCAGCCTTCCTTGGATCGCTCTCTATGCCATGAATGCAGCGTGCAGGTTGCCGCGACAGATTCAGGAGCTCACCCATTTCTGTTTTCACCCGCCCGCCTGGGCCGCCGCCGGGCCCCCCCTCGCCCTACGTTCTGGCGTGGCGGTCCGGGGGGGGGCTGCGAAATCATTTAAGATCAAATGTAGTCTTCCTTTTTATAACACGCTGTTCCAAAGTCTGTTTACAGGCGCCATTTAAAAACTTCCAACACACACGAAAATGGATTTATCTTGGGAGCCGTGGCAGCGTGACTGTGCGTACAGTTGTGGTGCGACGAGCCAGCAGGCTTGGACTGCGCCTGCATGACAGGTTAGACCGGGACATTCCCGGCACGTGACCTACGTCCAGCATTCTGGCGTGACAATCCCAGCATTCGTGACAGTTCCAAGCATTCCGCGGTGACCACAGTCCCAGCCATTCCCCTGCCAGTCCCAGGCATTCGGTGACTCAGTCCGCGAATTGCGTACAAGTACCAGCTTCATTGGTGACGTCCCAGGACCATTCCAGTGACGGAAGCTGGGGTGGGTAGTCCAGGACATGAGTGACCGAGTCCAGGACAAATTCCGCGTGCAGTTGCAGGACATTCGGTGCAGCTCACCAGCATTCTGGATGACGAGTCCCGGGACATTCGGGACCCGGTCCGGGACATTCAGTGACAGTCCCAGCAGTTCGGTGACGTCCGGGACTTCGCTGAAGTTACCAGCTTCAGGGTGGATCAGTCCCAGGACATTCGGTGACCTCAGTTTTTCCTCATTCGGTACCAGTCCCAGGACATTCACAGGTGACAGTACCCGCATTCACGGTGACGGTGCCAGCCTTCCTACTGCCGCTATCAGCATATTCGAACAATAGTCCAGGACATTCACGCCCGGCTGACGTACGCTTCAGGTGACAGTTCAGCATCTCGACATAGTCCCAAGGCACTCAAGCGTGACGCTACCAGCATTCAGTGACAGCTATAGCACTTAGACAATAGTCCAGGACATCGGGTGACAGTCCCCAACGGGACATCCAGTGACCAGTCCCAGGACATTCGGTGACCAACCGTCCCAGACTCTGCGGCTGAACACAGTCCCAGATTCACGCCTCCGCTCCAGGTCATTCAAGGTGACCTCCATACCCAGCTTCGTAGTGGACGCCCAGTCCCACAGGAATCCAGTGACCGGTCCCAGCGACAATTTTGGCGACAAATACCGGACATCCGGTGACAGTCGGGACATCAGTGAAGCTCAGACATTCGAGTGCGTCCCAGGACCATTCCGTGACAGGTTGCAGGACATTCCGGTGACAGTCCCAGGCATGTCGGTGACGAGTCCCAGGGCATTCGGGTGACAGTCCCGGGAATTCAAGTGACATCCCAGCATTCAGGGTGACCAGGTTGGGGACATTCGGCTGACCAGTCGGCTTCCTCTCGGATGACGTCCCCAGGACATTCGGTGACGAGTCCAGCATTCGGTGACAGTCCAGGACATTCCCGGTGACAGTACCACCATTCGGCGTGCAGCGGTACCCAGGCATCGCGAGTGAGCGATAGTCAAGTCAGGTTGCGGAAATATCCGCAGGTTCGGGTGACATACCAGCATCATTGACAGTATCAGCATTCGGCAATGATCCAGGAATCGGTGACATACCTGCATTCAGTGATCAGTATCCCGCATTCGACAATAAGTCCCCAGGACATCCCGTGACCAGTCCCAGGACCATCAGTGACGTCCCAGGACCATTCGGTGCAGTCCAGGACATTCGAGGACAGTCCCAGCATTCCAGCCAAGTCCAGGTCATTCAAGTGACAGAGTATCGCATTCCCATGAACATCCCAGACATTCCGGTGACTAGTCCCAGACTTTGGCGACAATTTACCAGGACATCCCGTGCAGTCCCCAGGCATTCGCGGACGTCTCAGACATCCGGTGACCGTCCAGGACATTTGGCGACAGATACCTAGACATCGGCGACCGAGTCCCAGACATTCTTAAGGTGACAGTACAGCATTCAGGTGACAGGTCCCAGGACCATCCGGCCAGTCCCGAGGACATTCGTGCTAAGTACCGGCTCGGTGACCATCCAGCATCCGGACGCAGTCCCAGATCGTGACGAGTACCAGCACTTCGGTGACCAGTCGCCGGACGATCTGGCGACAGTGCCAGGGATCATTTCTTGGTTGGCTATTTCCTTAGTTACTTATTCTTATTTGGACTTTTGTTCTCAGACATTCTCTTGTTTGATCTTTTTTTTTTCGTTCTCTATTCCATTGTTGTATCTTCGATATCATCTTTTTTTTTTTTAGTGTGACTCTTTAGTCTCTCTTGAATATTGCTAGTATTTTTTTTTTTTTATACCGCATTCACGGTGACAAGTCCCAGACACTGGCGACAGTCCAGGACATTCGCGACATGCCCAGACTTCGGTTGACCAGTCCCCGGACATTCCGTGACAGTCCGCGAGAGTGTCGCGGCGCGACAGTCCAGGACTTCCGGTTGACCCCCCAGTCCCGGACATTCGGTTGACTCGGCGACAGCCAGGACATTCGCGACAGTCCCAGGACATTCGGACAGTTACCAGGACATTCGGTGACCAGTCCCCGGGACATTCGGGACGGTCCCAGGACAGGTGGACAGTCCAGGAATCGGGTGCAGGCCGGGTGGCGCGCGGTGCGAAGAGAGGGCAGAGGACAGGGCGAGCCGGGGTTCCCGAGGAGGAGGGCAGAAGCTCTCGTCCGTGGAACCGTAGCCGAAGCGGTGCGCTGCGGCGCGCACGTACATTGTCCTTTTCTTCTATGGCAGCGATAACTGACACCTGCTTGTAAGAAGAACATGCCTGCAGGCACCGCCGTTTTCCGGGGCGTGCCAGGGTCCTGCGTGTGCTCCTGGCTCCGTGTCACCTGGAGCCCCGTGTCCGGCCAGTGCTGGCTGAGGTCTCCACTCACTGCCCTGCCCTGCCGCTGCGGGGAGGGGCAGGGACCTGGGGTTCAGACGTCGCCGTACCCGCTCGAGAAGGCTGCAGGCTGCCTCTGCTCCAAAGCCGCACGGGGCTCTCTGTTCTTCCCGTTCCCGGTGAACTCTCTCTCCCTGGTGAGTCACACGCTCAGAGCCTCGGGCCTGAACGTCTGCACGTGGGGAGACCAGAGCACGGAGAGAGATGGGGTCTTAGGTGCCCGGCCACCAGTGCCGGTGGGTGCAGCAGGGCCTGGGGCCCCCCGAGACCCCCAGGAGGACGCTCCGCTCTGCCTGCGTCCCACTGTTGGCCGAGGGACCCCAGGGGTCCCCCGGCCGGGCCTGCCGCCTGGGTCTGGACCCATGGCACCAGCTCTGTGGCTGGGCGGCTGCCCCTCTCCCTTGGCACGTGTCCACGCTGCCATCTGAGCACCACGTGGCGGGGGGCTGGCGTAGGCGCCTGGGTTCACGACGGGTGCCTGGACGGGTCACCTGACTTTTGAATCGGGGTGGGGGGCCGACAGAGGATGCTCACTGATTTTGGGGGGTCAGGCCCCAGTGGCTTGTATGTAGCAAGGTCAAAAGCTCACCCCCAAGAACGGACTATTCTGTGGGCCTTCCTTCCGGTCCATCTCTTCGGAGGCCCGAGATGATGTTCGTCTTCTCGATTTGATTTTCTTTCTTTTTTTTTCTTTTTTTTGAGACAGAGTCTCACTCTGTTGCCCAGGCTAGAGTGAGTGCCGTGGCGTCAGCCTAGCTCACAGCAACCTCAAACTCCTGGGCTCAAGCGATCCTCCTGCCTCAGCCTCCCCAGTAGCTGGGACTACAGGCATGCGCCACCACGCCCGGCTAATTTTTTCTATATATATTTTAGTTGGCCAATTAATTTCTTTCTATTTATAGTAGAGACGGGGGTCTCGCTCTTGCTCAGGCTGGTCTCGAACTCCTGACCCTAAACGATCCTCCCGCCTCGGCCTCCCAAAAACTGCCGGTTCTGAGCGTGAGCCCTGCCCGGGCTCCTCCAGGCAGGGTGGGTCCGCTGCTGCCGTCATCAAGGCCACTTGGCTTTTGAGACGGAGACCGCTCCGGCTTCCAGGCGGCCTCGGCCACGAGTAACGAGGGCATGTCTTGCTTTCCCCAGGGGAGCAAGCAGCTGCTGAGCAACTACCCCGTGTACATCACGAGCAAACAGTGGGACGAGGCCGTGAACTCCTCCAAGAAGGACGGCAGGCGGCTGCTGCGGTACCTCATCCGATTTGTCTTCACCACCGACGAGCTTAAGTACTCATGCGGCCTCGGGAAAAGGAAAAGGTCAGTGCAGTCAGGAGAGCCGGGTCCGGAAAGACGCCCTCTGGATCCAGTTAAAGTAACATGCCTCCGAGGTACTGCACCCTTCCGCCCAGCGTGTGCCATCCCTGCTCTCATTTCACCGCATTGGCCGCGGCCCCCGCGCCGGGGCTCGGCCCTCCCGCGATGTGGTTTCTTCCCGCTAGCAGCCGTCGGGCTCCAAGCGGCCCATCCACCCGGTGTCCAGAAGCTCTTTTTTTTAAAAAGAGCCTCCGTTGGCTGTAGCCTCCTTGCCCTGTCCCCCGGCGACACATAAGCATCGCGTAGCACCTCATGTCTCATGCTTCGAATCCAGCTTCCCTTGGCTCCGTCCCCCCGAGCCGGGCCGGAGCACGGGGGTGGCAGTGAGGGGGGGGGGACGCACAGAGGAAGGGAGGACGTGGACTTTCCTTTTCAAGTCCTAAAAGGGTGCCTCGGGCCTGCTTCCCACCCGCGCACCTGCTCGGGAATCCCCGGCCCAACTCCTTACATTCGTTTAGGCTTCGTTTCCCTTAGTGCCTAGAACATGCCTTGCCCAGTAGGACTTTTTTCTATTCGGTTAGCAAGGAAGACAACAAAAAAGTCTTTGCATTAAAAATAGTGCTTGGGGGGAGGGGGGGGAAATGGGCATTTATTGAAACCTTAAATCTACCCATAATTCGAAATAAAAAAGAAAAATTGTGCTAGGCGCGGGCAGTGCTCGCACCTTCATCCTAGCCTCTGGGGCGAGGCCGCGGAAGGATCGCTTCCAGGTCGGGAGTTTGAAGACCGCTTGAGCAAGAGGAGACACCCCCGTCTTGCTAAAAAAATAGAAGAAATGATTGCCCAGTACAATATATAAGAAAAATAAGACGCATGTGGCGCATCCTGTAGTCCCAGTACATCGACGGAGGCTGAGCAGGAGATCGCTTGAGCCCAGGTGTTTGAGGTCTGTGGAGAGGTTGATGCCATGGCAGTCTCCAGGCGTGACAGAGGTGAGACTCTGTTCAATAATATTATATATACCAACCTGCTATAGATAATGTCGTCGAATCAGCATCAAGAGCAGTGGGACTGTGCAGCTGGTCTGAACCGGGAGAGGCAGCCAGAGGGCGGGGAGGGATATCCAGAGGGACACAGTTGACTCGGAAGATGCATGCACGCACACACACACACACACACACACACACACAGAGGAGTGCACGTGCACACACGGAGAGAGTGCTGTGTAACACACACACAGAGTGCAACACACACACACACCACACAAGGATGCACAACACACACAGAGGACGTGCACGACACACACAGAGGAGTGCACACACACACACAGGAGTGCACGTGCACACACACACAGAGGAGTGCACAACAACAGAGGATGACACACCACACAAACGGGCAGTGCACGTGCCACACACACAGAGGAGGCTGCACAACACACAGAGGACGTGCACACACACACAAGGGAGGAGTGCATGCAT